CACCTTATTTGCAGAGTATATCGTGTGAAGTGCCAGAATGGATGAATCACAAGTTGGAATAAAGATTGCCAGGAGAAAAATCAACAGCCTCATATATGCAGATGATACCACCCTAATGGCAGAAAGTGAAGAGACACTGAAGAGCCTCTTGATGCAGGTGAAAGAGGGGAGTGGCCTAAAATTCAACATTAAAAAAAATAAGATCATGGCATCTGGTCCCACCATTTCATGGCAAATAGACAAGGAAAAAATAGAAACAGTGAAAGACTTTATTTTCTTTGGCTCCAAAATTACTGTGGATGGTGACTGCAGCCATGAAATTAAGACGCTCTTAGAAGAAAAGTTATGACAAACCTATACAGCGACATTACTTTGCTGACAAAGGTCCATATATTCAAAGCTCTGATTTTTCCAGTATTCATGTATGGATATGAGAGTTGGACCATAAAGAAAGCTGGGCACTAAAGAACTGATGCTTTCAAATTGTGGTGCTGGAGAAGATTCTTGAGAGTCCCGTGGACATCAAGGAGATCAAACCAGTCCATCCTAAAGGAAATCAGTCCTGAATATTCATTGGAAGGACTGATGTTGAAGCTGAAACTCTAATACTTTGGCCACCTGATGCAAAGAACTGACTCATTTGAAAAGACCCTAATGCTGGGAAAGACTGAAGGAAGGAGGAGAAGGGGACAACAGAGGATGAGATGGTTGGATAGCATCACCGACTCAACAGATATGAGTTTGAGTAAGCTCTGGGAGTTGGTGGCGGACAAGGAAGCCTGGCGTGCTGCAGTCCATGGGGTCGCAAAGAGTCAGACACGACTGAGCGACTGAACTGAACAGAATCAATTCATTGGAAGGATTGATGCTGAAGCTGAAGCTCCAATAGTTTGGCCACCTGATGTGAAGAGCCAACTCATTAAAAAAGACCCTGATTGAAGGCAGGAGGAAAAGGGGATGACAGAAGATGAGATGGTTGGATGGCATCACCAACTCAATGGACATGAGTTTGAGCAAGCTCTAGGAGTTGATGATGGACAGGGAAGCCTGGCGTGCTGCAGTCCATGTGGTCGCAAAGAGTCAGACACAACTTAGAGACTGAACAAGAACAGTTGTTCAAAAATGGAAATATTTCCATCTGCCCCTGGAGACACCAGGGACCCCCAGGCCTTCCCATGATTGGGCAAAAGAAAGGTTAATACCTGGCCCTGATGGAAGAGGATATCTCCAGGACCCTGCTCCAGCTCCACCCCTACTTTCTGTCTGCTGCGATTGGTTAATGCCAGTGTCAAAGCTTTTGACTACCACTCTTAGAGTGTCCACAGCCTCACCATGACATTGGTAGGTAGCCAACAGACTATGCATGGCACTGCACCCTCTGGGTGACATCTTCTGTTCTATATGGGAGTCAGGACAGTAGGACTGGTGACTGTGGTGCTTTAGCCACTCAAGGAACAAGAGGGAATCTCTTCACAATTCTAAATAGCCCCAAATGTATCATTTTCAAATGTACCATTAAACTTTCTAATGGGTTATTGAAAATCTGTTCTGAGTTGCCCATCCTTACTCTTAAAGATCAGAGAAGAGGGTTTACAATTTTTAAGTGAGGTCAGATGTTTGAGGTATTTTAAATTATTTCCAGCATTTACTTTTCCTCATTAGCAGATGGGGCAAGGGGGCAGCAGGTATTTCCCAAAGACAGAGCCAAAAGGAAAAACACAGCAGCCTCCACTGCTCAAAGGCAGGAAGTCAGACTAGACAGCCTCTCAAAACACTTCTCTGCTTCCTCTCCTTTTCTAACACTCCCACTAGAAGCAGATGAAAATGCTGAAAATGTTTCATTGACTATAAGAAATTCAAAAGAAATGCACGAATGTGAGTTAAGTCAGCCTGGGCATCAGAAACCTTTCCTAAAATATCCCAAAAGATCTAAAAAGATTATCCATGATTATGTTACTGAGGTTGTTCTACCTCCGAGGCAGGCAGAAAGGTAACAGTTGGAAGAATTCTCAAAATGCAAACACAGAGATAAAATGAAATCAACAAACCAGTGGAAATATATGCAAGCCAACAAGATTATGCTCTCTACCATACTTTCCAAGTTTTTTTTTCCCCCCATAAATCTTATCTCAGTGGTTTCAAAGTGTGGTTCCCCAAACCAGTAGCACCAGATCTCAAGATCTGTGAGAAATGATCCTATTCTCAAGATCCTATGAGAAATGCAGATTCCCAGACTCACTTCAGACCTTCTGAATCAGAAATTGAGGGTGGGTCCCAGTGGTCTGAATCTTATAAAGCTGCTCAGACACTTCTTAAGTGTGCTCAAGTGTGAGAAGTGTACTGTCAGCTACCGCCAGCTTTCAGATGAAACAGACAAGATATGCAGCACTCTCAGTCTGTGCAAGACACAGCAAAGATTCAGAGAGGTTAGGTGATTAAGCGAAAGTCACACAGCTGACTGGTCAAAGAATCAGAAGGTACATGTGGACTGAACAATCTAGTTCGCCATCGTCTTCAACACACAGTCTCACAAGTATGCAATATAATTAGCCAGATAATCAAAACTGGTTTGATCCCAGAAGAACAAATATGAACTGGGAAGAGGAAAAGGGTGACATCTAGGGAAGGAAAAAACCATCCTCAGAAAGTCTGGGTTCTCTCACTCCACAGATCACCATGGAGACCAAGAAGACCAAACAAGGAACTCGAATTGCATTCTAGATAACTTGGCTCCTGGGTGCAGCCTGGGTTCTCTCTTTTGAAAAATCTGAGATTCCACTGGCCCTCTCATCAGTTCCCACATTCCTCCTACAGGGCTGTCCCAGAAACTCACTGTTCAATGCTCAGAGGGAGCCCTTCTCAGCTTCTGCAGGCGGCATTCAACTAGCAGGCTCTCCAACACTCTGCCTGCATCCCTCATACTCTCTGCATCACTAGTCCTCTCGAAAAAATTTTTTCTCCTTCACCTAGGCTATTGGGTCTATAACAGCAGAAGGGCTACTGCTTTCGGTATCACACCAGGCTCTAGTCCAGGGCCTGGCATTAGTAGGTAAGAAAGAAATATATGTGACATAAATGCACATAATAAAATTTATCTACCTGGATGTATCAAAATGTGTTTCTAGGGAAGACTGTCAGTTCCAGTGACACTCATATGTTTTTCCAAACAAGACATTCTGGATCATTATTTCAAAAGCAATTTAAAATCATGGCTATGAATAAATCCAGAGCTTATACTGGAATATCCTTCCTTATCCTGCAAAGTGTCTCTCTCTCTTTTCCTTCTACTCTTCATTCTTTTTCTCAGTAAACCCATCATCACACCAGCTCTCTAAGGATCTCAAGAAAGGCAGGACTGTTTTATTTGTTGTTGAACTACATTGTCTTTGTTTCTCCTTGACACAAATAAAGCCTTTCATCTGTGTCTGAACTTATTGTTTAGATTCTACTGTACTTCATTTACGCAAAACATTCAGTCATTAGACTAGGACAGAGGAGAAAGGTGTGAAGTCCATAGTAAAAGGATGCCTACAGCATTTAATAATTGGTATGAGCTTTCAGGAAAGCTGTGGACTCAGCCTCTAAGTTCCATTGGCACTTCCAAATGGATAAAATATAGACACAGACCCACTCTTCTAAATAATTGGATTCGCTACCTGGAATATTTAAATTGTTTTCAGACACTGGAAAATGTCTTAAGGAGATTAAAAAAAAAATACCCTGGAGAATAACAGACTATAATTTACTAGGTGGAAAATCTTTTCAACAAGAAAAGATTCTCCTATAATTTCTCCTGTTTAAGAGATGCCTTATTCACTTGGACCTAACTATCCTTAGATCCTTGGGATTCCCTGGTACTCAGACGGTAAAGCATCCGCCCGCAATGCGGGAGACTTAGGTTCGATCCCTCGGTCGGGAAGATCCCCTGGAGAAGGAAATGGCAACCCACTCCAGTACTCTTGCCTGGAAAATTACATGGACAGAGGAGCCCTGTATGCCACATTCCACGGGGTCGCAAAGAGTCGGACACGACTGAGCAACTTCATTTCTTCTTCTATCCTTAGATCCAGAGGCTCAAGGATCTAAGGACTGACACCTTGAGTGACACCCAAGATATAAATTCACAACTTATTGTCCTCCACCTGAAGATCCCCATGTATACAACAAAATTATTAATTTAAATGTTTGAAAGCAAAGGGAGGATTCACTTTAAGTCCTAGGGTCCAGGGTCACTGGAGATCCGGGGCTGGGCTTTTGCCCGTCCTGGCCAAAGATGAAGGTAAATCGAAGGAATGTCTCGTGTTCTACGTCTATTTGGAACCGAAGACTCAGCCAGCTCAGTTCTCAGAAACTCTCCTTCCCAGCCTGCAGGCCCACCGCGCCCCTGCTGACCCCCCAGTGACCCCTGTGCCCTACCCTCCCGGTGCGTCCTCCCGGCCCTTCTCGGGGCCCTTCTCTGCGGAGACCAGAGCTGAAGTTTGGCATCACCGGCCACCTGTCGGCTGGGCCGCCGTGTCCTCTTGCCTCTGCGCGTGGGCACCCAGAAAAGCGCCTAGAGGTAAGCAACCACTCAACACTTCAGACTCCGGGGCAGCTCCTTCTTGAAAGGGGCCAAAGGAGGTGCCTGTTGTGGGGGCGGGGTGGGGGGGCGTGCATCTGCCGGCGGAGAAGGGCGCTACTTGTCCACATCCCAACGATTTCCAGCGGGTGCCAACTTCACCCTCCCCACTTTGCAAACTCTCAGGACCCGTCACCCGGCAACGCCGGCCCCTCCTGAGCTTCTGCTCCACTGGCCCCAAGATCCCAAACCCTCAGGGGGTGCTGGTCAGACCCAGCCCGGACGCCCACTGCCGACCCGAGGGCCCAGGAGCGGGTGCCCAGCGCCGCCGTCGCGCGCCCCAAGGCCCCGCGCCCGCCAGGGCGCCCGTTGCGTAACTCGCCCCCGCCCCGCCCCCGCGAGCCGCCCGCCGCCCGCGCCCCCGCCGGCCGCCCCCACTTACATCCTCCCACTTGACGAATTTGATGCCCTTCTTGAGGCTGTCGGACACGCACACGGGCTTGAGTTGCAGCGCGTGCACTCCAGGCTGAGCCCCGGCCATCAGGGCTCATCGGGGCTCCGGGCGACCCGGGCGCGCGCGGCAGGGACGGGGCGCGGGGCGCAGGCTCCTGCCCGGCTCCGGGGGCGCTCGCCTCCGCTCCGCGCCGGTTTCCCCGGCCTCCCGGCCTCCGCACCGCCTCCCGCGAGACTCAGCAGCCCGGGCGCGCGGGGGCGAGGCGCCCGGCCATGCCCGGGCGGGACGTGGGATGTGGAGCCTCGGAGGGCGGAGAGCCGCCGAGCGGTAGCCCGGGCTGCCAGCCGCCACCGGGTACGGCTCCTGGGCCCCCGCCGCTCCCGACGCCGCGCTCAGCACATCCTCCAGACTCGGAGGGAGCGCGCGAGTGACACACGCCCGGCGCCCCCCCGCCCGGCTCCTTCCCCTGCCGCCTCCCGCCCCCCTTCCCCGCCGCCGCGCTCGCTCCGTCCCTCCTTCCCCCGGCGGCTTCCAGCCCAACTTTGCGCGCTGGGTCAGGCGTCGGGAAGCGGGGACGCAGCGGCACCTCCCGGCGCCCGGGCCCCACTGCAGCCGACGCCTGCGCCGCCGCCCTCTGAGCATGCCCGGTGCCGGTGGCGCGGTGCCCGCGCTGCCGGAGGTCAGGGGGCCCGGGCTCCCGGGGGCTGGCTGAGGAGCGGGCGCCAGAGGCCGGGGTGTCTCTGGGTCCAAGCGGGGTGGAAAATAGAACCGTGGGGAGGGAGCGGAGAGACAACCCACAGCTTTCCTCTTGAGCTGGAGCTCTCCAGCGCTGGCCACACACCAGCTTTTTGAAAAGACAATTATTATTTATTAGTAAAGAAGGGAGCAGTTGAGAGGCTTGTAGTGAGAGCTCTTTGGGGAAAGCTCGCTGCGCCTGAGAGTTTGCAGCGCCCTAGAATTCAAGCCCCGGCATCCGGTGTTGTGCTTCTGAGAAAGCAAGCCCCTTCTAAGAGAAACAGTGCTTTTATTTCCCTGGATGACAGAAGGCCCCCGAGTGAGTGTGTGTGTGGGGTGTGTGTGTGTAAGAGAGAGAGACAGACAGACAGACAGCGGAGGAAAGAGGGGTGTTTTACAGTTAGAAACTTGCTCATTTAGGAACACAGGGGTAAAGATGCCTTTTGCACTCATTTAACAAACATTGCTTATTTCTTTTAAAACAAAAAAAGAGATACCCCCTTCAGAACAGATCAAATTTAGAAGACATGTAATGCCAATGGTTGAGAGGGTAAGGAGCAACTGGAGATTTCATCCACTGCTGCAGAGAATATAAAATGATAAATCCACTTGGAAAAACAATTCTTATGAAGTTAAACATTTACTTATCACAAAACCCAGAAGTTCCACTTCTAGGCATTTGCCCATGATAAATGAAAATGTATCTTCACACAGACTTGTTCAGTAATGCTCATAGCTAGCTTTCTTCATCATACCCTAGAACTGGAAATCACAAGTGTCAGTCAACAAGTAAATGGATAAACAAAATGTGGTATGTCCAACTATGGAATAATATTCAGTAACTAAAAAAAAAAGGAATGGGCATACAACCACACAGACAAATCACACCGACTCTAAGCCTAGTGAGAGAAGCTGGGCACAGTAGTCTACATACAATACAGTTCTATTCGAGGGATTCCAAAACAGGTACTCTCTCTGTGTTGACACAGAGAGGCTGCCTGTAGCCAGGAGTGGGCAGAGATTGACAGGGAAGGGAAACCAGGGGGCTTGTGAGAGTGATGGAAATGTTCCATGTCATATGTGTACACAATACAGAATTGTAGAACTGTACACCTAAAATGAGTACGTTTTATTGTAGGTAAATTTTATCTCAATAAAGATAATTTTAAAAAACAAGAAACAGAATATGAACAAAGAAGGAGAGAAACAGTCTTTTCTCTTAAGTGTTCATTCTTTCTTCCTCTGCCCCTGAGGCTTCCAAGGCCCAGTGTTTACAAACTCAGTCAAAATATTACCCAAAATATGATGGGGAAATTTGCTATTAAATACATCAATGCATTCAAAAACTATGTATTGATTAGCAGCTGTATGCTAGATGCTCTGATAATCACCAAGGATAACCTGATGAAGGAGCATCCTGACTGCTGCTCTTCTTTTGGGGGTTTTGGCTGATCTGTGGAAGCCACTTGCTACAAAGAATGTAGCAAGTCTGCCTTGTTTCATTTTGATCATGTGTCCCTAAACTGAAACCTGAATGCACTGTCCAAAGACCCTCTATCAGCGGCCTTGGCTTGCTATCTGCAGAAAAACCCCATCAGATTCTCACATTGCTCCTCTCTGCTCTAGAAAACAGCAACACAACTCCACTCGCAGCATTCCTGCCCTTCTCAGTTGTACTTATAACTCGTCCTACCAGGCTTGTTCTCTCTTTTCTGTGTGTTATTCCTCCACTGACTCCCACAACCTCTCAGTTATCTACTGAAAAGATTAGTGATCTATTAGGCTTTACACCAGAGTGACATAGGAGGGTAAGACAGATCAGAAATAGGCCCTCTAGGAGAGGAGTTTGGAGGATTAGAAATAGACTCTAGGTTAAGTGAGAAGACAGACTCAGCCTCTTCGTGGTGGCTGATTACATCATCTCTCTGTGTTCCGTGTCCCTCTCTATATCCACACATTTTGTCATGTGACCTTATGGTGACCTGTGTTTTCACGCCACTGATATCAGCCAATGAGATGTTAGAAGACATGACCTAAGAAAAGTTTTGAAATATACTCGTGAGGATGGGCTGAAGTGTACTTGTCCTCTTGGGTTTCTGATTATTGCCAAGAGATAGATGTGTCTCAAGGAGCCATATGGGGCAGATGTAGGCCCGGCCTACAGCCTGGAGGCCAATCCAGCAGAACTCATCTTAGGTCTGCCAGAACCCAGCCGCTGCAGACTTGTGAGCATGACAGCATGTGCTCATTGTTGAGTCTGCCGAGCTGGCCAGGGACTAGGGGGTCACTTGCTGTGCACCATTACTGTGGCGGTAGCTGGTTGAGTCATTCAGCTCGTATTCCTGATCTTTCCCAACTATCATTTGTTGCTGTGAATGTAAGGAGAGTAAAGCTATAGAATTCTGAACTGTGTTTGGTTTCAAGATAGACATGGACTGTGGGAGCTTCTGCCAGCAGAAGGATGTAGTTTGATCCAGGAGAGCTGTGGGATAACCTTCTTCAACATGCAAGATGAGGCTTGAGGCAACTTGTTTTGACTCCCGCATTTTCCACACCTCTGGTCAAGATACAAGACAGAAGTAGTTCTAAAGGTGGGGATTTTTGCCATGCAAAAGCTTCGGCAAGAACATCCAAAACTGTGTGAGCCAGGCCTGTGATCCATCAAGTTCAGTGCTCTGTTCTGTTTTTAAAACAAGAGAAAGGTCTGTTTTATGTGAGAGCACAGAATTGCCCTCGGGAATGTTCGCCTTGGGGAGTTGGCAAAGCTAACCATTATTGAGCATTCTCCATATGCGAGGGCGCTGGGCTAAGCGCTTCCCAGATGCTCAACAGCGTAACACTCGTTGTGAAACAGCAGCCTCCCACCCTCTTTCCCGTGGTAAGCAAGTCATGATTTGGTCAGGTAGCAACGTGTTCAGGGGAGGGGGCCCCTTCTCTTCCCCGGAAATGAACTCTGAAGGTCTGTTGGTCTAAACCAATTACAGAATCACATTTCTCCTTCTCTATGATTGCTTTAGAAGGGCATTAGGAGACCCTGGTATGCCCAGTGGATTAAGAGAGATAGAGTGTGTTCCTCTCCCTGACTCTTGTCTCCATCACCCTGTAAAGAGGACAGCCAACTAGAAACAGGCAAACAGCCTGATCAGTCCTTCATGAGACTGTTAACCCTTTCAACATCTCTAGAATTCCTGATAAATGAGGCAATAAGTGTTTTTATTGCTTAAGCCTGGGACAATTTTTTTGTTATAAAATTGAGACTTGAAGAAGTGAACTGACCTGCTTAAGGTTACCCAACTTGGAATCAGGTTTGAGACCTATGATATCTCACTTGAGAACTTAACTCTTAACCGCCATGCTAGGCACCTCTAGAACTAACAACTCAGATCTGAGTAGTTTTCCCCTATTAAACTGCAATGTAATGTAAATCATCCCAATTCTTCTAGAAAACTAGTGTGTAGCCCAGTCTCTCAGCAGTTCATCACTAACTCAAGGCATGCCTCTGTGGGAAGGAAGGGTGTTTTGATTTGAACAGACATACTTTCTAAGAGCCAGCTCTACCAATGACTAGCTGTGTGACAATGGGAAAGTATCTTCCCCCTTCTGAAATACAGAAGCCTTACTATTAATAGTAATTAATAATGGTGATGAAAGCCTACTATGTGCCAGGAACTCTTCTAAAGTTTTACAGTTTTAATGCATTAATCTTCACATTAACCCCAGGAACTGGGTTATCATTATCATCTCCATTTTATAGTAGAGAAAATTGAGTCAGAGAAGGGTTAAATACATGTATAAGATTTTTGCAGCTAGTGAGTGGAAGAACCAGAAATAAATCCCAGGTGACTTGGCCCTGGAGGAGACACATTTAAATACCACACTATGCTATCTTGAAGAGTTATAGTAAATATCAAATGAAATCATGTATGCTAGTCTCTGTCACACAGTGCTAATCAATAATATTTAATGCATTTATAATTATTCTAAATTATGCTATATTGCCTTTATGTGCCCTAGAATAACTTTTTATGAGCATTATTCAAACACAGCATCCTAATTCTGTGGTCTGTGATTTAGTCAAATTCTTTCTCCCTGAACTGATTCTGTAAACTTTAATCACATCCATTTTCATCTCTAACCTTCTAGAATTCAAAAATTCTTTTCCATTACCAATAAATGAGTTCTAATTGCATCCAAATCAGGATTCCTCTCAGTTCAGTTCAGTTGCTAAGTCATGTCTGACTCTTTGAGACCCCATGGACTGCAGCTTGCCAGGCTTCCCTGTCCATCACCAGCTCCCAGAGCTTGCTCAAAGTCATGTCCATCGAGTCGGTGATGCCATCCAACCATCTCAT